CTTAGTACATACTTACATACACATTTAATTAAGGGTAACAGCCTCCGGCATAGAAATAGTTTTAGCAGTTTTTATAAGGTTTTTAATATTTCTACAAATTTGCTTTTTTCAGAGCGCAAACTTTTCGTTGGCATGTTGAACAAAAAATACAATGAAGCAGATGTCAGGCAGTTGTTCACAGGCCACGGCACCATCGAGGAGTGTACAGTGCTTCGCGATCAGAATGGGCAGAGCAAAGGCTGTGCCTTTGTGACGTTTGCAACGAAGCACAATGCCATTGGAGCAATTAAGGTAAGTGTGTGTGCAAATTACTGAGTAAGTGCGTGCCCCGTTGCCCCTTGCCTAGGGCTGCTATACGTCCCGGTTTTCCGAGACATGTCCCGGTTTTAGACTGTTCGTCCCGGTGTCGAATTATATGAGTTTTTTGTTTGAGTTGATGATCGTGCCGATCTCTAATTAACAGGGTCTTATGTATTTTTTAGTGTTATGATTTTTCATAAATTTTTAAGTCCGTGGTGGAATTTCGTATCTTGTTTCAAAACATCGGAAAAGCTGGCAATTTTTGGATGAATGTATATAGAAAAAAACTCGCAAAGAGGCAAAGCTGTATTTAACTTTTTTACTAACTTAATACACTGGCCCTTGTTTGTTCTTGTGGCGCTAAATGTTACGCATTCGATGGTCGGAGCATGGTAAATATTTCTAAATCGGCATGTTTTAATGTTTTAGGTTGCATAATTTAGAAATCCCTATTTTTTGTCACAGTATGAAAGGTATATGCAAATGATATTAAACGCTGTATAAGGATACATAGCCAAGAAAGTATATTGGTACAAAAATTTAACGCATATTTTAACAAAAAATATTTTTTCATCAAAAACAGAAATTTTTCCGAAACATTTCCAAAATCATTTCATTGGAAAACACATGATTTTGACCCCATTTTCTAAAATATGCTAAAATTGGTAGATCTGAATATAAATTTTAATTTGGTATGCCTTCCAACCGAATCATATTTGACAAATAAATACATACATACATAGAAAAAAACTTAATGAAACTGTAACTTACTGTGATAAATGGAAATTGAAAAGAATTAAGAGCATACCGAGGGCTTATATTCAATACCCTATATCTGAACTTTTTACAAAAATGAGATTCTGATACTAAAATCCACTTAGGACTTAACTGTCATCGGTAATGTTAATGCTCAACTTGTATAACACTTGATAGACGAATTTATTATTACACAGCAAAGTAAGAATAAACATCAGTGATAACAGGTAAGTCCCAGATGGGTTCTAACATCGCAAAGTAGTTTTTGTGAAAATTGCAGATAGAGGGTATTGAATTTATGCCCTCGATATTCAAAACGAGTATGTTATTGACTCTTCCCATGTTTTGGGGAACAATTTTTAATTTCGTTCTTTTTTCTAACGTGAATATCCGCGTGAGTTATTTTATGTGTTTACAATAGTGGTATTCACCAAATTGAGCAAATGGCCTGACAGTCAGACCAGAGTGCCAGGCCACTTGCTCAGTTTGGTGAATACCACTAATATTATCGAAAATCACAAAAGGGGCCAAAAAAGTCAGAGCCCTAGTATTTACAGTGTTTTACTATTGCTAAAGAGTACGGCCAAATTATATTCCACATACATAATAAAAAAAGGCAAAAGTAGAACGTTGGGGTGTTTAGGGCATTTTGCAAACAATTGCCCCGATTTTGCGTCACACAAATCTGGCAGCCCTACCCTTGCCGCATTCCATTTGTCATTTGTGTTGCCATTACAGCGATTAACGATGCGAATAGGTAGAATGAGATTTGGTTATGGCTACGGTGACCATCCGTCCTTTATTTTAAAGGACAGTCCTTTATTTTAACCCAATGTCCTTTATAATTTTATTCAAAATAAAGGACGCCTTTTGTCCTTTATTTCTTAAATTGTCCTTTAAATCAGCTCTGCATTTTTCATAGGTAAATTTTTAAACACAGAATATGAAAACTAAAAATTCCCTTACAAAACATAATGAAAACCTCCGCCAGTTTGTTTCGCCGCCACTTAATCTATCTTTCTATTTAATCGATAAATTTTGTACAATTTGTAAAGCAGGATCGTGTTGCGCGCTAAGTTTCCAATTCCACTAAAAAAAAAAACAATAAAACCCTGCTGCACAAACTGGCATTTAATTTGATTAATTTTTATTTTTTAATGAAAGATTATAATATTTGCAAGGGGCTAGTTGTGCCCGATTTGTGAATATTTATTTGATTATATTAAATTTTTTAGTAAAACATGCAGAAAAGGTAGCACTTTTGATGAAAATGTATTCTCCGTTTCCAGCTAACCAATGTTACATAACAAAAACTAGTTGAAAACAATTGTATGGTTCTCCCAAAACGGAAAAAATGTTAACCAAAATAAATATTTTTCTTTTGTTATTAGTAAAAATTAGTTGAAAAAAGGAGGCTCCGGAAAATTATCAACATTAAATTCCAATTTTGAACCACTGTGTGCTGGCTTCGTCGTGCTGTATGGTATGGTAAACGCATTTTGGTAGTAAAGGACTGCGAAGTCCTTGAAAAGGATTTGGCTTAATTTTTCACTACAGCAGCTACTGGTAAATATTTGATGTAAATTACGATATGGGTAAGGTACTTTTATCATACAAGTTGTATGTACGTATTCCCAAATAATTTTGAAAAAATGTCCTTTATTTTACGTTGGTTAATATGGTCACCGTAGTTATGGCGCAAGTATTTTTAAATACCCTTCGGCGGGCGCGCCGCGGCAAATTAGCCGCAAAAAATTTAATTTGTGGTTTTCAAATACTTATTGTAGTAGCCGGCCACTGCCACTTAGTGACTTTGTAAGTTTTGAGATGCAGCATGGTTCACAGTTAACCGTTACTTGCTGCGTTATATCATTCAGTTGATATTTGTATTTGAAAGTCGGTGTCTCATATAAATTTTAGTGTAATTCGCAAATTTTTTTCTTACAAATAGTTGGAAAAGTTAGTTTGTGATAAGGGTCTAAATCTAAATTGTTATTTTGTAAGTATTTTGTCATGTGTAATTTTAAAATTGAACTTTGCGTTAGCATTACTTTAACTATTATGATATTCATTTACTTAGGTTTTAGAGAATGATGTTTTTAAACTGATATAGAAGCGAACGCGCTACGCAACAGCAATCGAAACCAGGAATATCTACCAGGAATAATAAAACAAAAATTTGTTGTATTAATTGTGACAAAAAGGTTTACAGGAAACATTGCAAGCATATTTCACAATGTGTATAATGTACCAACACCACTGTTGATGATGACGGATAAAAATTAAAACATAAATGCTTTATAAAATATTTCAGTATAAACACAAATTATTCAGATGTTTTACTTGAATGATTTTTCGATATAAATAATAAAAAAAGCAGCTTAGAAGCTGCTAAACACATTTTTGAATTTTTCTGCAAATTCTTTGACAAAAAACCTTACTTAAGTCCGTGTTGGGTTTTTGCTGAGTTGGACCTAATGACATAATTGAAAAAAGTTTCGTAGAAATCGATAAAGTGGTTGCCGAGATACACCTTATAGTCATAAAGTGGGCGGTTCCACGCCCTATTCCTAAAAGTCTATAGCAGTCTTATTTATTGTTAAGAGATTGTTGTAACTATTAATTTGTATTAAATTAGCGTCCTGAGTTACTGAAATATCGGAGTATTCGTATGTCTGAAATTTACCGTTATACGGGAAGCGGGTGCAATTTTAGTCCGATTTTAATAATTTTCCACGAAGTGCTTCTCCGAACCAAGGGAAAGGCTCGTACCGAGTTTGGTAAGGATTGGTTAAACAGCTAGTGAGACACAGCATATCACGGCTCCATAATGTTGGCACCCGACCTTGATGCGAGTTGATAAAATACATTGAATGTGATAGATTTAGCTTTTTGGAGGATTGCAGTAATTTTCTTTTTGTCTGTAGTTGAAAATAAAGTCCGTAATGCGTTTTTTCTTTTAATTTATATGAACTTATTTCCATATATATATATATATATGTATGCATTAGGGTGTGTCAAAAAAAATCAAGTATTTTTTTTGGATTCGACACACGAAAACTAGTTCCTAGGTATCTCTAGAAAGTACTTACCACATCTGAGCTCTTAATATTCACGGGGAGATTATGCTCATCATAGTTTTCAATTTTCAATTTAGTCTCATATAAAAACGGTCATATCTTTTCACCAATAGATTGTTAAACCAGTTACATCGTCAATGTTTATAGGAAATTGAACGCTCTACAAAAATGGTCTCTAATACTTTTTTCATTAATCTAACTATTTAAAGATATTCAAGGTCAAAAATTGAAGTATTTTAAGGAAAATAACTTGTGGTTTTGAATTTTGTAACTTACTAAAAAATTATTAAGTTACAAAATAAAAAATTATTGTCAACTGAGTTTCAATTATTTCTATAGGAAATTAAACGCTCTACAAAAAAGGTATTTCCCATTTATCCATTTAATTTATGAATTGTGAGATAATTTATGATCTATTTCAGAAAAATAAGGTTTTTATTTAAGAAATATCATCAAAAATATCAACAGAAAAAAAATCTATTCCGCCATATGAAATTTTATAATTTAATACAGTATTGATACAAAAATATATTTTTTCTTTTAGTTTAAGTTATAAAAATTGACTTTTATTACAATTCGGAAATTTTGCTCGTGTTCCTTGACAACTTGCAGTAAATATCGAAACTGGTCTTCGTTCTTTTACAAGCATTGGTTGTATTCTGACGGCGTTAGTATGATAAGTACTGATTAACAGAACTAACTACCAACATTCGAAATTAAATCTTCAAATTCCCCAAACAAAAAATATTCAATTATAAATTTTGTGGAAAAAAGAAATTTGAATAACATTTTTAATAAACCCGTTGAAAAATATTAAATTACGATGCTAAATTGTGATAAAAGTTATAAAAAGTAAATATCGTTAAAAAATGTATTCGAAGGAAATATATTCTCAAACAAAAGATAAGACATAACTTGCAAACTATAATTTATTTATTTATTTATTTTTCTAGTAGTACAGGGTAAGACTTAGGTATTTTAATAGTACTTCATCCATTATATACTGTACGTGGAAAGTAAAATAGTAATGACAATGACAATGTTTACTTAAACCTAAATTAAATTAAATTACAAATTATCCTTAATAGTTAGAAGTGTAAGGAAAGAGGAAATAAATAAAAACAGTATAGAAATTGAGGATTGAATTGTAAAGGC